TTCGGTCTGTACTTACGACCTCGGTCAAGATTCTCCCATACAGACCTCCAGCTCGGTTAATAAGAGCTAATTACAAACTCAACAGTGACGAAAAGGCTTACGTTTTTATCACTTTACGCTTTCTTTTTTTTCTAAGGATCCTTTTTGAATTAGAAACCCAACTGTATTGATGGTAAAAACGTGTACAAATTATCCAGACAATTCTAATTTGACTTACTTTCTAAACACAAATCGTTAAAAATCGAGTGATTTTAAGGAACGAGTAGGATTGCAAAATGGCAACACTGAAAGGTAATCTCGTGGAGACAGCCCGACACCAACATCTTTTCGAAGTGCACGGTGACGAAAACTTCGATTTTCCCATGCATTTGTTTATTTGTTATAACTCTATTTCTGTTTTCGAGTACTTTGATGAAATATCAAAAAATCATTATTCGACGATGAGTTAAGTTTTTATTAGAGCAAAAATAAGAATCTATATGAAAACACTCGCTCCGATCTTTTGCTAAGTAATGATAGCCACTTTCCTTCAAAGCCATGAAAACTAGTGATACAACATTGTTATATAATAAAATTGTCGAAAGGAAACACGTCTTCAGTGGGATAGACTTTATACACAGATTTTTTTTTTTTTTTGCACAAAAGACATATCTTTCAACGAACATATTACAGCCAAATAACTCAACGATTAAACTGATGCGTTTCACCTTGAAATATAAGTAGCGTCGCTGATGCGATTTTAGTCCCGTTATGTATCAAATAATAAACTGACTTTTTAAGAGGTGTTGATACTAAGCTGATGAGCGCAACTGCAAAAGCTGTCTCATTCGAAATTTGTAAAATTGTTTCATCTTAGTTTTTGCATTGTGTTTTCTGCCAAGACGAAAGCTAAAATACACTGATAACTTATGTTACGCTGGTTTTGAAGAAATGAATTAAAAGCTAAAACATAATTGCTCTAGCGAGACGTGCAATGAATGAAATCACTTACCTTTGAAGCAACTCAGTGCCAGTGTGTCGTCTGAGTGGAACAAAAAGCTAAACAGGGAAGAGAAGAACGAGTCYGTTAGATTGAACAATGTTAAAACAAGGAAAGAATCCAAAAAATAATCAACTTACATCTTAAACTTATACAGTCCTTTCGCCTCTCCGTTCAGAATTAAAATGAACTCCTTGTTTGTTAGTCAGGCAAACTTTGTTGCTTTGTTTGTCGGTGTGAGGTTCGCGTAAGAACAAGTTTATGAAACGCATACATAGCAAAAGTCTAATGTACAATTTCACAAGCAAAGCTATTCGCTAAAACTGTTTGCTTTCTGCTGTTTGTCCAATGAGAACGCGTGTTATAATTTTACCTTTTGCTCAGTCAATTTATTTGTTTATAGTTCTTTTTTTCACGAACGAGTGCGAGTCACAGTTGTTCCTGTTTTCCTTTGTTTATTGGATAAAATTCCATTATAGTTTTTTTTTCTCAGCCGAAAGGCAGCTTTACTTTTATCAAAAAATTCGGATAATAAAAAGAACCCTTCTTTTTTACACTCCGAAGTCAAGTCCTGAAATAATAAAAGGTTTTAACACGTACTTCTGAAATGACTCAAAGTCCAAATACAGACTCTGGATAATTATCAAGGTCCTTCTGTTTGCCGTACGTCTGTTCTACTCTAAAATGAAACACATTATCAAAACCTAAAGGAAGCGCAGTTCTTGTTCCAAAGTTTAAATTAAGATGAGTGTTTCATTATAGAAGTAGAACGTCTTTGACGTTCATCTTGGCTCACTGAAGTGTACACAATGTTATCACAGAAGTTTGGCTCAAACTTACGAATTGTGTTTCTG